AGCAGGCAAAATTCAAGCTTAGGATTTTAGATGCTGAGCGGGAAGACCAATTAGTTTTTGAGCCTCTCCTGGAAGGAAGCTGGCTCTGACAGATGCTCATCTGATAATGTTTCACTCTCCACCTCTAGCATGGTGCTGGAGGCTGGGGCTATAGCAGTGAACAAGATGAGTGCAGTCCTTGCTGTCCCTCTCAGAGCTCTGTGTAGTGGGAGACAGGAGTGTATGGGCAGTTACTGTGGTCTAAGTGCCATCCATGAAGGGAACCTAGACATGAGGGTTTTGATGTGGCTGCTTAGCAGTGAATGATGGGATGGGAGGTCAGGTAGGTTCCCAGCAATACTCACTCTGGTGGCGTGCTAGAACAGGCACCAAGGCCAATGTAAAAAGTCTGGTGTGGTCTTTGCACCAGTGCTTTCAACTCTGTTTGTTACTCATCATGGTGGGTGGTGGGCAGTGGTCACAAGCCCTGCCCTGGTAGGGCAAAAGGATCAAAATTTGATCCTTGGGTTGGATTCAGCCCTAAAGCCAGATATTATGTATATATCCTAATTAATGAAGATTCAGGATCTCTAAATTCCAAAGCACGGAAGAGTTTACATTTCAGGCTTTATACTGAAATACTAAAATTCTGTCTTATTCTCTCATCCAGGAACATGACATCGATACAAGTGAAACAGCATTCCAGAACAATTTCTGAAGACCATGCCTCTTGAAGCTTTTTCTGCCTCCTGATTCTCTCTTTATAAACTATTTTCAAATTGTTCCTCAACTTCTTATCAAAATTGTTTATACACTCTTTCCTCCATGAGCTATGAAAGGTATATGCATCTTCTATAATACCCAGATAGGTGTAAGATTTTTCACAAAATCCTTATGTAAGATACATTCCATTTTTAAAAATTAAATGTATGGTTGCATCTGTCTTTTTATACCCTATGAAACAGTCTTTCATTGCATTTTTTTTTTTTCCAACCCCAGTTCTGGATTTGAGTCCTTTATCAAAGACATAAATAACTCTCAAGCTTGTTGTAAATATTGTACAGCTTTCTGGACCGGTTGAAAGGATGCAACACTGGCTGGGCACGGTGACTCACACCTGTAATCCCAGCACTTTGGGAGGCCGAGGAGGGCGGATCACTTGAGCACGGGAGTTCGAGACCAGCCTGGCCAACGTGGTGAAACCTGTCTCTACTAAAAATACAAAAATTAGCCAGGTGTGGTGGCACGAGTCTGTAGTCCCAGCTACTTGGGAGGCTGAGACAGGAGAATCACTTGAATCTGGGATGCAGAGGTTGCAGTGAGCCGAGATCGCGCCATTACACTCCAGCCTGGGTGACAGTGAGACTCTGTCTCAAAAAAGAAAAAAAAAGGGTGGGGTTGCCAGGTGCAGTGGCTTATGCCTGTAATCCCAGCACTTTGGGAGGCCGAGGTGGGCGGATCACGAGGGCAGGAGATCGAGACCATCCTGGCCGACACGGTGAAACCCCATCTCTACTAAAAATACAAAAAATTAGCCGGGCTTGGTGGCGGGCACCTGTAGTCCCAGCTACTCGGGAGGCTGAGACAGGAGAATGGCCTGAACCCGGGAGGCAGAAGTTGCAGTGAGCCAAGATCGCGCCAGTGCACTCCAGCCTGGGTGACAGAGCAAAACTCTGTCTCAAAAAAAAAAAAAAAATCCTGAATTTCAAATGATTTCTTCTTGGTAAAGCTCTGTTCATAGGCTTCCATTCTTTCCCATACTCAAACCCTAGTACACGGCTTATTCAGAGTTGCCAGCCAGGGCAGAGTACTGGGCAAGGGGGAGGCCACTCCAGGGGCAGAATTTGGGGGCTCTAGCTCAGAGCTGGGAGATAAGCAGCTAGAGGACAGGCCTGGGGAGTGCTGTGGCAGTGTGTTCCGAATACATCCCCAAAATGTATTCAACGATTGTCTCCCGACCCAAATACTCTCTTATCCTGTGGGCTTGGTGCTCCTCCCATTGAGAGATGGGGTCTCTGTTCCCTCCTCTGAATCTTTGAATCTGGCACCGTGGCAGAAGTGATGCTGGCGACCTCTGAGGCTAATTCATAAAAGGCTGTACAACTTCTGCCTGATTCTCTTGGGACATTCACCTTTAGAGCACAAGACTCCATTTAAGAAGTCCAAGGCCATGTGGATAGGCCGTGGATAGGTGTTCTGACCAACAGCCAGAGATCTCAGTCTATATCAGCATCTTGGTATAGATCGCTTGCCAAACATGAATGATGATACCTCCAGATGACTCCTGGCCCCAGCCATCAAGCACCTCAGCCTTTTGCCATCCCAACTGGGGCCCCAGATGTCATAGAGCAGAGACAAGCCATCCATGCTGCGTTCTTTCTGAATTCCTGACTCCCAGAATCTGTGAATATAATAAAATGGGAGTGAAGGTGTGCCGTCACTGCCATTTTGTTATATTTGTTTTTATTTTTATTTTGATTTGTTTTTTTTGTTTGTTTTGTTTTGTTTTTTTGAGACAGGGTCTCATTCTGTCTCCCAGGCTGGAGTGCAGTGACGTGATCCTCAGCTTACTGCACCCTCCGCCTCCCAGGTTCAAGTGATTCTTCTGCCTCAGCCTCCCCAGTAGCTGGGATTACAGGCACATGCCACCATGCCTGGCTAATTTTTTGTATTTTTAGTAGAGACAAGGTTTCACTATGTTGACCAGGCTGGTCTCAAACTCCTGATCTCAAGTGATCTACCTGCCTCGGCCTCCCAAAGCGCTGGGATTACAGGCATGAGTCACTGCTCCCAACCTTGTTTTTGATTTTTTCGAGACAGGGTCTTGCTCTGTCTCGAAGTACATTGGTGTGATCATAGCTCACTGTAACCTCAACCTCCTGGACTCGAGCGATCCTCCTGCTTCAGCTTCCCGAGTAACTGGGACTACAGGTGTGTGCCACCATTCCCAGCTAATTTTAAAAAATGTATTTTGGGTCTTTCGTCTGAGCCACCAACATGCCATCCAGACTGAGGAAGACCCAGAAACTTTGGAGCCATATGAGCCACGGCCACAGCTGCATAGGCAAGCTCCAGAAGCACCCCGGAGGCCACGATAATGCTGGTGGAATGCATCACCACAGGATCAGCTTCAACAAATACCACCCAGGTTACTTTTAGAAAGTTGGTATAAGGCATTACCACTTAAAGAGGAACCAGAGTTTCGGCCCAACTTGCAGCCTTGACAAATTGTGGACTTTGGTCAGTGAACAGACACAGGTGAATGCTGCTAAAAACAAGTCTGGGGCTGCTCCCATCATTGATGTGGTGTGATTGGACTACTACAAAGTTCTGGGAAAGGGAAAGCCCCCACAGCAGCCTGTCATCATGGAGGCCAAATTCTTCAGCAGAAGAGCTGAGGAGAAGATTAAGGGTGTTGAGGGAGCCTGTGTCCTGGTGGCTTGAGGCCACATGGAGGAAAGTTCATTAAAAGCTAACTACTTAAAAAAAAAACACACAAAACAAATAGGCCGGGCGTGGTGGCTCACGCCTATAATCCCAGCACTTTGGGAGGCCAAGACGGGCGGATCACCTGGTTGGGAGTCTGAGACCAACCTGACCAACATGGTGAAACCCCC